GGCTGCTCCATGGCAAAGAGGACCTTGTTGCACCAAGCTGGTTTGTGGTGCTCCGCAGTCATGTAGAGCAACTTCATGCGAAACATCATCGTGACATCATCCTCCACCCATTCACGTTGTTGAGGTGTTAGAGTGGACAACCCAAAAGGCTCTTCTTCGCTCCTGACAGGCTTCGGTCCCTTGTCATCTGCATAGCGACAGGCAGAAACCGTTCTGCAAGGAGGACCTCCAAAGATAGCATGAAGTTTGCCACTCACCGCAATCTTCATCAGAAACATCATGACATGGTCATTCAGCATGTCCATTTTGGGGTTGATGGCGCGGTCAAGGCACACCACCATAGTGTTGGCATCTTCAAGTTGTAGCCAAGTTTTTTGATCCTTGCCACTGTAGAGATGCAAGATTACTCGCTGAGCTCGGAGCATTCTACGACGCATCCATCTATTCCAAGGCAGCTGCTCACTGTCAATCTCCAAAGATCTCCGGACCACTTTGCGACATACTGTATCAGGAAGGTCCGGGAACTCTTTCTTCATGAACACCATCAGCAGCGTCTCAGAGTCCAGATCTGGGAGATTTTTCAGCAGCGTGGGTTGTTGTATCAGCGCCCTCACCAATGCACTCCTCGCTCTTGTCAACCTGCTCTCATTCTCAAGCTGATCAATCAGTTGCATGCCAAACCGGCGATTGATCATAGGGCAACCATTGACAACTGTGACCTCCACATTCTCCCCATGGCCATTCTTCATTCTGCAGTCTCCCCCGGTCCAAGTGATCTCGTAGCCCAGCTTGGTCAACGCTCCCATCGGCAAAATGCCGTTACCAAAGCTACCATCATCCGGTGTAAAGAGCAGCGTTTCTGTGCCATGTTTGATGCGCAGGCTAGTCGTTGTGCCCTGAGCTAACGCCACCACCGTGTGCTCCGCATCATCCCACTCGCTCCAAGTTTTGGCTCTTCTCAAAGCGTGAGTGGCCCCACTATCCAGAAGCATCAAGTCAGCTGGGCCTTGTTGAGGATCTCCAATCTCCTGCAGCATGATCATCTTGGCCGAGGGTAGGTGAAGAGACTTCAGCAACTTCGTTGCCTCCTGAAGCAGCTCATTGGTGTTGTTGCTGTTGCCTCCACCATCAGGCTTCTTCCCATTGCTCACGCTACCTCCCCCAGACGCTGTCGCTGCATCATTTTTCTTGACATCCTCCTCAACAATGCTTCCAGCTGTCTTCACACCATCCTCCTTCTTGCCATCAGTTTGAGACGTGTTTTCTTTGTTGCCCTTCTGAGCCTCTGTCTTGGTTTTTCCTTTGTTTTTTCCTTTTCCTTTTCCCTTGTCAGGATTTTTTCCACCTCCATTCTCATCACCTTCTCCCCCCACAGGTGGCTTCACCTGTGCTTTGTAAGGACATTCTGCTTGAAGATGCTGATTGGAGCTGCAGTTGGAACATCGCAAACTGCGATCTGAGACACCTTCCCATGGGTGTGGCCAGCGACATCGTTGACCTTGTCGACAACCTCCATCCGAAAGCCAAAATTTGCAAGGCCACGTGGTCGTTCCTGCTGTTGTGGTCTTTGTGGTAGTGGAGCCTTGCATAATCTTTACTGCAGCTTTCGTGGAGTTCTTGGCCTCACTTGTTGATGCCGTTGATGTAGAGTGCACTGCAACCTCCGCTTCAGCCAGAAGGAGGTCATAGAAAAGCCATACATTTGCCAGTGACGGCCTGATGTCCAAGCTGTAGTTCATGCGAAACGTTGCTATGCGAAAGTTGGCTTGGGATGAGCTCTCAACCACTGGCTTTGCAATGCCATCCAGCGTTCTGATGAGCAGCAGTGGATCTGGAAGCTGTGCACAAAGCTCTGATGCCCTGGATGCCTTCCTCTTCCACAACCTCAGCGCTGCAACCACATCCTGACTGGTCTTTGTGACTGGCGTAGTGGTCAAATCTTCCAGCAGCCGTGATTTTTCAAGAAGTCCTCCAGGCTGATAGGTGCGCATCACTCTAAAAAGAATGGCAGTTGTGGAAAGCTCTCTGGTGGCAATGATCTCATCCTTGATGGCCTTGGGAACGCTCTGCAGCAAAAGGCTTGTCACCCTTTGATCCAACCGCTCAAAACCAGCGGACAAAGATCCATTCTCAGGTGCCGTGATCTTCAGCCTGGACAGTGGATCCGCATGAAGCCACCGGCCATATGTAGTTGTAGTTGATTCCATCACCCTCCTCCACCAGCTGGCCGCATGCTTTGACAAATCGCCAATCAATGGCTCTAACTGAATGAGCCAATCCCCAGCTTCCAAGCTAGCGTCACGACCTTCAGGAGCAGGTAGAGAGGGCAGTTGAATGGGGACGCTCTTCAAGTCTCCATCTTCAACAACTTCACGCTCATGCCGTAGAGCTCGATTATGAAGAAGGCCACCATCCAACGCTTGTTGTGAAAGATCTCCAAGACCCTGCCCAGGGGTGTTGCGAGCCCGAACTGGTTGAAATACATCACCAAGACCCTGCCCAGGGGTATTGCAAGCCCGAGCTGGTTGAAATACATCACCAAGACCCTGCCCTGGAGTAGCACCAGCTTGAACTGCTTGTGGAACAGCTCCATGCATCGACTCCATGCTGCCAGCCCGATCAGGAAGGCATTGATCACCAAGCGCTTGCTCTAAGGGAGCCCGATCACCAAGACGTTGATCTCCAAGCACATGCTCAAAGTGGGCCCGCACACCAAGACGTGGATCACCATGAGCCTGCTCAAGGCTAGCCCGATCTTGAAGACGTTCCGCTCCAAACTCACATGCTATGCTAGCCCGATCTCGATGAACTTGCTCACCATGCGCATGCACTCCAATCCCCATGCCAGCACTATCCAACCCAGCATTCCGACGCATGCATGACACTGCTTCATGATTCTCGAAAGCCTTTTCTCGTTCTGTCTGAAAAGGTTTTGACCAATATGCACCTTGAAACGACCTGTTCCTTGATGCCTCATGTTCCAGTCTCTCCTTCAAAGACGCTACTTCTTGCTCCAACCAAAAGTGCCTAGCTGACCTTGGCGAGCATGCTCCCTCCCGCACCCTGTAGCCTGCATCACCCATGACACCTCGCAGCTTTCGTGGAGGTTCCACGGCAATCTCATAGTTTCCAAGCTCCGGAGGCCACGCAGGAAGTGGCGGTGGGTCAGGAGGTGGTGGTCCGCTAGGTACTCTAGTTCCATTTGGAGTACATCTGAAGGTCTGAGGTGACATCCATGCATGTGATTCATTGGTAACTGGAGTCTTTCTAGGAGGTGACATTGCAGTTGTTTTGACATCCCCATTCCAAGACGACGGAACAGCCAGTCTTTGTTGGTTCTCCCTCTCCTCTTTCATACGCTGAATCTCCATGACCAACAATTGATTCTGGTTCTGCAGCCGCACAGTCTCTTGCTGGAAATGCAAAAGTACCTGCTCCCCTAGATCATCCTCCAATTTCTTCTCATGACTTTCTGATGCCCCATTTTCTTCATGTTTCATTTCACCATTGGCAACACTACTCTGTGCTCTTCTTTTCCATGCTCGTGTGGTTGTTCCATCCCTTCCATCGAGACAAGGCACCGTCTCCAAACCCCGCTCACCATCCTTGGTCTCAACCTCGGCCTCTTCACCATCATGACCCCCATTGCCGCGCATGCTGCCTGGAGTCTCAAAAGATGCCACTTGCTCCACACCTCCCTGTCCCTGCTCACCGCTTGGCAACTGTTGCAAGGGTCTAGGGGAGGAATCCAAGTCATGGTCATTTGGAACTGGAGTATTTCGAGCATCTAGATCTAAAGGCCGAAGGGTTTGCAAAGTATGTTCCATCTGAGCATCTTGGGACCAAAAAGGATTTGGAGGCACAGAGGAAGATCTTCGGTTGCCATTCGAATTCATTGGCCGCTTGGGCTCATAACCCTCGCAAATGCTGAGGGCACTTTTCTGCAATCTCGATACAAAATGCCTACGTCGGCAGGTGAATGTTGGAATGATGACCTGTGCAGATAAGATTCAGATACTACACTTGATCATAGCCAGTGTTTGGCCTTTCATACCTAGATTTCCTAGATCCATATCCACAAAACTAGGTTTTTTACAGAACAGGTTTCCCAGAAAAGTCACCTGGTTTGATAACTCGGAGATGTCTTCAGGTCGCCGTTCCCATGCGATAAGGGGCCCTGATGGTTGGTGTTTCCGAAATCTCGGTGATCAATATCCAATTCTGCTTGGTGAATCCTTCGATTCCTGTGGGTGAGAATTATATATCTATATATATATATATACAGATATATATTATATATATATATATATACAGATATATATTATATATATATACACCTAATATCATACTCGTATATATATATATAATATTATATATATATATCTTTACCTTTTGCTAATTTCCCCGTGCTCGGCAAGACCGCTGTTTTGCCGCTAAGTCACACTTGGTGGAGAACCACTCATCAGCAGGTTTGGTTTGGTCATCGCCTTTTAACGAAAAGTAGATCTGGCAAAGCTAGTATGTGCAAGCAGGTCATTTTTCTTGGGGAAACCCATGAGTATAGCAACCTTGAATCCAGCCATTCATCATCATTTTCCTCGTCAGTCACGAATAATGCAGCCATATTCAGATGCACCGACATCATATTCTTCTTCGTTGCATCACCATTAAAGATCACGATGATATCCCCGTTTCAATGGATAATAGTGGTTTAATAACCGCAATATCTCCATTTCAGTAATAATAATTATGATAATAACAATAATTATTATGATATAACTGATACCAACAATCACAATAATGACAAAACCTATAGCATTAACAATAATAATGCTAATCATAGTAATAGCAATAGTGATACAGTAACAAAACACACACACACACAGCAATGATAATAACAAAAATAACAAAAAAAATCGCCACTATATGGGTTAGTAGCTTGTTATATCGCCATTTTACCCTTGGGCCCTTAAGCCGGTTCCCTACCTTCGATACGACAGGCGTGCGGCTTACTCTGCAAATTGTTTACGCTGGCAAAGTGGCCCGGGCAGGCGCCTAAAAATCGAACATTGAAACGACATATTATTCAACATGTATGACGTGTACTATATCTCTATCTCCTGAAATACACAATATTGACATTATGGTGATTCTATATGTGGTGATTCTATATCATATTATATATATACATATATATATATATATATATGGTGCATTTTTTTATTGTCCGGCATTTCCTGGACCTTGAGGCGCCCCAAGAGCCATGGGTTATGATCTGGGACAAAGACTTCCTGAGATCTTCGAAGGACGCGCGGTCATTTTTTGGGGACATATGATGTACAAGCTACTATATGAGCTATGGTCAATACTCATGATTAATAACCATTAATAGGGGCTAGTCATCCAATGGTTCATAGGGATTTATAATAACCATTAATAGGGGATCCTTATTATGGATGGGATGACCATCAACCATATAGTGAGTATTGACCATGGCTCATATACCATATGGATCAACATGGATTTGATACCCGCCGGTGTCATCTTGATGAAAGATGCTTGAATGGGAAACTCATCTGCAAATGGGTGATAAATTTCCATTGTTTTTTTTTGGATTACCGGAGGATAGTCCTTGTTTACAGGGGTTTCAAACATCACACATGTAGGGACAGTCGTGGTTTTGGGTTGCTATCAGAGGTGTAAAGCCAAGAGAGGAAAAGCAAAGACATGGCCAGTATCGGTCAACAGGGAACCTTGAAGTCTGAGAAAAAGGATATTAGATGGGTATGGGTCAAAATTGGGTACCCCAATAATTAGATGGTCAATAATAAATATATACTTAAATCTGTGGTCCCTTCTGGGGCTTTAACTTTGACCCGTACCCAGATACCGCAGCAAAAAAGTTGGTCAAAAGTCGCCTGAAGACCTGACAGGTGCAAAAACCTCCGGAAAAAACAGCTGTTTTCATGTGAAAACCGGTCTACCGGCTACCTCGGGCATGATCGAACAACGTGAAAAACCTTGCAAAGGAATTTGGGTTTATCATTGGAAAAAGACACGTTGGTTCGCAACCGTTGAACAAGATCGAAGAGTCATTTTCTAATCACTTACTAATCACTTACCCAAAAATTGGAATGGGATTTCCAGGGACTTCCACTTTTCGGCGCATTTGTTGGGAGTTGCGACATGGCGACGCGACAGAGCGTTTTTTTTGCTCAGGAGAAAGTCCCGAACTCCCGCCGACTCCGAGTGCGTCGAGTTGGGAGGACCAGAAGTGCCACGATATGCTGCCAACGAAAGGTGGAACGGGGCGAAGCTGGTGGGATGTTGCACAGGATTCTACAGGATACATCGTATTAGAAATCATTAGAAATCAATAATTGTGGATATTGTGGTGGTTTCCACAAATATATAGCTGGATGGTTTAGTGAAACATCCAAAAATAACATGTAGGATTTGGGGGTACCCCCATAGAAAAGCTCCATATCTCGACAGCGCGACAGACCACAACTGCGAGTTGATGTTCCTCAGCGCACGCTCAAGCCTGGACGGGTGTAGCAAGGATGCCCTTTGGCAAAGTGCTCCTTGGTCGATGAGTGAAAAACCCTTGACATCAATGAAGGAAAATGCTGTGCAAATGTATATTGACATATTCAGAAATGACTATCATGATTGTTTAAAATTCCATTATGGTCTTTTTTCTTATAATGACTTATAATGACAGTGATTATATATATATATTTGGTTGGTGGTTTCAAACATATATTTTTCAAGATGATTAAAACCACCAACCACATATATATATATATACGGTGGATGGTTGCTCATCCCAGAGGGGAAACCCTTTGGAAAGGCTCTGGGATGGGCCCATGGGTCCGGATCCGGATTGAATGAAAGCACCGTTGGAATATGAAAACAGCAACAGTGAAGTAGCTTATATGGCTTATATATGGCTTATATATGGCTTATATGATATTCTATACATATGAACCAAGAAGAAAGCTTCGTTGCAGTGGGGAATCACATTCTGCTGGGGACTCTGAAGCATGGCTAGTCTGTTAAGGCTAACTTACGCCCCGGAATCTATGAGGGCTTCAAATTTTTGGGTATAGGTCACTTCAATTTGGTAATATTTGGTATATATATATATCCATATATATATATATACATATACACCTATTTTTCAGACAGAAATCGATGATTGCAGGTTTAATGAACATCCATGAAGTGCTGCAGATTTATCAAGTTCTAATGAAAATCGATGAACATCATACGTCCGTTGGTGATTGCATGTTGGATGGGATCCCGGCAAGCTCCACAATGTGGATTCGCTGAGGCTTGTTGTGGAAGTTGTCAGATGCCAAGCTGCAATAGAAATTCAGGTTGCGGCAGTTTCCGTCACTTTTGATGTTTATATAACACATACAGTAGTTACAAATAGTATGATATATATATATATACACCCTCTGGTTATTTATTATAGCCATGATATAGATGGCCCATTTATAGATGATTTTCCCATTGATACCTCCATTTATAAGGGATTTTCCATGGCTATGTTAAATAACCAGATGGTATATATATTTATACAAACTGAGAACAATACTGATAACAATCATTTTTTTTCCATCCGTTGGGTCGTCCCTGAGTGCCTCAGGAATTTGTGGCTGCAGCGTGCAGCGCTGTTACAGGACTTGCGGCCGATTCAGGACGAGATTGCAGGCAAATTCCAAGGATTTCTGGGTGAATTTGAAGGCAAAACCAGGATGTCTTGAGTAGATGATCTAAATTGATATAGTATTTGATAAATCTGATAAATCATGATATAGAATGTCTAGAATCATGATAGATCCGATATATCCACATCTAGAATCCACCATCTTGGGTGACTCGAATATCGCTATGAGGATGTCACTGTTTTTATAAAACCCGTCGGGACCCCGGCTGATGGGACCCCACAATCTTCCAATATCTTCCAATACTAAGCCACAGTTTCTATGGGTTTCTTATGGGTTTCTATGGGGGTGGTGGGTCACCCTGGGTCCCTAGCTCCACGAATGTGCCGTTTGAGGTTGGGGCCGATGGGATGTTTTTGAAGCATTGTTGCTGGCCTTAGGTCGGCTAGATATCCCATGATAGCCCATTTTTAGCATCCCATAAAACATCCCTATTGTTGCTGGTTTTTTCCTTAACGGCCGAAGTTCCGATCTCCGGTAGGGCCCCTTGAAACCTTCATGTGTCGCTGGTGCATCTGGTGCTGGACCTTGACATATGAGGGGTTTCCTAAATGGGGGTACCCCGAAATCAACAATAACATAATAGGATTTTCCGTTCTAAACCCATCCAGCTATTTGGAATTCCCAATTGATGGAAACCTCCATATGTTGACATGTTTTCCTTTGTATGTAATTACATATGTGCGGACATACAGACATAGATGCCAGTGCATGTACATATTGGGCATGTGTTCATGGATTTGGATACACCTGTGTTTCTAGTCATTCGGTGAATCTGTTTGTCGGTCAGTCAGTGAGTCAGTCAGTGTGGAAACTTGTAAAAGTGTAGATGTGTTTCTATGTTTGCGTGCGTGTGTGTACATGTAGTTGTATACATCCGCATGTATATGTATGTATATATATATATGCTGTATATGGTATATGTATACTATGTCGTATATATATATACATACATGTGTATTGTATGTAAAATAAAATTATGTCATATCTAAAATGTAGAAGGTAGATACAAGTAGTGATATGTAACAGGCAAAATGTAATAGTATTAATATTGTAGTATGCAATATGCGATATGCAAGCTCAACGTGGACTATGTACTATGTACTAGGTACTGTGTGCACTTTTTAATATGTATGTGCTCACACATCAGCGAATGCGATTGTCCACGCTTTTTGTCGCTCGGAAGACAGGCTTCCTGGCCGTGGCCAACAAAGACTTCTCCAGGTCGGAGCTATGAATTGAGCAAATCCCAACATTTTTGAACATCGCCAGGATGTCGCTATTGAAAATGGCTATTTTTAGTGGATTTTCCAATGAAAAATGGTGGATCTTTCCATAGTTATGTAAACGTTTACCAGAGGGTAGCTATGATAGTGAGGTGGCAAACAATCCAATTTTTTCTCTGTCGAAGTACACACTCTATGATTCAGACCAATGATAACTGCTCGATACTTCGACTCTTGCTGCTTTTCTTGCTGCTGGTCACGAATAATATCATTGTTATAATTGTCAGTCAGCACTATCAACCGCTATTAACCACTATTAGCGACTAATGATTATTTACCCTTATCAACCATTACTTACAATTATTAACCATTATATTAGCCATTAATCATGACACCAACCGCATTCACCACCTTCAGCGACTGAGGCGTTTGTCTTCCGGGCAGCGGATGCCTTTGTTGGCCTTCGGCACGGGAGGTTTGTCGGGACAACGCGCCAGTGCCGCGTGGCATGGTAATATGATTGGGTAAAAGCGGGACTACCATATGAGGGTTTCCATAAATGGGGGATCCCTAAAATGGATGGTTGATTTCCATGGGAAAATCTCGTTAAAATGATTTGGAGGTACCCTTTTTTTCAGGAAAGCACCATATGTCCTATTAGTCTTACATTTGAATAGGTGGTATGATGGTATTTCCATATTTCTTTAGCTAGGTAATCAAAGGAAGTTTTGGGAAGGACACTTCCGAGTTACGAAATTGGGTAGCCTAATAATGTAAGGTCTGTACCCATCATATAGATGGTTAATACTAAACACTAGTCCCAAAATTTGTGGTCCCTTCTGGGGCTTAATTTTTGACCCTTCTCTCCATACGATTGTATTTTCACGTCATAATATAAGATAGGTAATATTATAGACTATTAAGGGAAATGATAACGATAATGATATTACAGTTGTGGGATGGGTGCTCAACCATCAACCAGTTGACGGTTTTGGTTTATATCGTCACTTTCGTTCAGTAGCCTTTGATATCTCTATGCTGATTACATCCTTTTTTACCTCGAGTTTTGAAAATCTTTCCCACGATCGGGGATTTATATAAAGCTCCTAACCTTCTGATACCCATGTTTTTCAGCAACGATTGACAACCATAGCGGCCATAGTGTAACAATAGGTATTTTCAAGTACTTCTATGGCTACCCGTATTTCCCCTTGCACCCTTCTTGGTATCGTAAGTGGGTGAAAATCACCCCGGTAACTGGACATTTTTTCGCTACTTTGCCTAGTGGATGAACTGTCGGTGAATCCCTATGTCAGCCCAGCCCTGTCTTCTCATAGAGCTAGCCTCTGAGAGAAAGAAAGAGTTTGCGAACTGGAAAATGGTGATTTTTTAATTCGTGGATTGATCCATGAATAATTAGCATGGTGGATCTTTCCTCTTCGTTTTTTGGGACTGTTTCCAGGCCGGGTAGTTGATTTTTTGTAGCGTTAGACCTCGCTTGAGGCATTTCCCAGCCACCTCCATGATGAGACAGGTCTTGCGGGTAATCCTCAATACATTGGATAGACTCATCATTGGTATCATCCAGTTTTATACTAAGAATCATTGGATTATACTAATGAGTATTTTTCCAAGATATGATTGAAGAGCATGAAGCCAGTTTTTTTTTACATTTTTTCAGTATTATAGGGGATATCATATCATAACACTGATCAACACATCATAATCCCATGATATTTGAAGCGTCTCATCCCCTATCATCAGCCCCTTAGACTCCTTAGACTTCCCGAGGACGTCATCTCTTATGCCCTGAAGACCGGCTACCGTCACCTCGATTCGGCCGCTTCGTAGGGACCCCAGGTTTCTCCCAGTCATATGGTAATTTCATAGGTTTTGATCAATCCCCATATTCTCCATATGTTCATATGATTTTTCATATGTATATCTAATATTAAAAAATAGATACTGCAGATAGATGCATCTCTGTATCTGTCATATATGTCACATGCCATACTGGATGAGACGCATGATTGCCGACATCTATGATGTTGGAGTTTCAGGCGATTTTTGAGGGGGTTCCGATGGACGTTCAGCAGATTCAGCGAGGTATCCCAGCTTTCCGGATGCCTTGCTTTCGGGCTTCCTCCACAGCGGTGTCCCACGAGAGGAGGTCTTTATCTCCACCAAAGTGCCCACCAGCGCCATGGGATTCGATGCCACGAAGAGATTGTTGGAACGGATCAAAGATGAACTGCCAGGGAACTATGCAGATCTGTGCATGGCCACTTGGCCGATGAAAATTGGGAGGTAACTTTTTTCAAATACCCTCTGGTAAACTAACATAGCAATGGCTAATATAATGGTTAATGGCTAATATAATGGTTAATAATTGTAAGTAATGGTTGATAAGGGTAAATAATCATTAGTCGCTAATAGTGGTTAATAGTGGTTGATAGTGCTGACTGACAATTATAACTATGCTACTATTCGTGAACAGCAGCAAGAAAAGCAGCAAGAGTCGAAGTATCGAGCAGTTATCATTGGTCTGAATCATAGAGTTGGTACTTCGACAGAGAAAGAATTGGATTGTTTGCCACTTCACTATCATAGCTACCCTCTGGTAAACGTTTACATAACTATGGAAAATCACCATTTTTCATGGGAAAATCCACTAAAAATAGCAATTTTCAATAGCTATGTAACAAATTACCAGAGGGTAGGATTTGAGTTCAGGATGAACAAAAAAGGGTAACCACCGCAATGAAGAGTCAAGGTTTATTTTCATCCGGGGTTGACATGAATTGCCGTGGCATCACAACTGGCCTCAAAACTGACATGAGCCACATGGCAGTGGCACCCAAAAAAGAAGCTTTGGAAGACGATTAAAGTGGAAATAGCAACTTTTCGATTCCACGCTTTGAGCTAGTATTATTTCCCAAACAACTAGTACAATCAAGTACTTTGTTGACTCAGATTCCCAATTGATACCCTCTGGTTATTTAACATAGCCATCGAAAATGGCCCATTTATAAATGGTTTTACCGTATTACCTATTAAACGTGGTGATTTTACATGGCTATGTTTAAATAACCAGATGGTATATCTGAGTATATGGCTTGTACGCAATGAGGAAGTGCTGCTTCCCTAGCCTTGTTCAGCAACCTCGAGGGCCTTTTTGGGGCCCAAAGCGAGGAACCAGCGAGGATGTTGATAGAAATCTATAGCATTCACCCATTAAATCCCATTCAATTCTGGAAGTTAGAATATGTTAGAGCCAATTATTAGGATTATTGGAATATTAGAATCATTTTTGGGATGATCCAATTGTTTTTCAATATCTTCAGTTGCAAATCCCCTCCTATATGGGAATCATGAATGGACATGAATGGATTCTAGTATAGCAGAGTAGTTCCCAGTCCACTATTATGAGTACCAAAATGCAATTAAGGTTCAAAAAAGTTCATTAATTAGCCTCTGGTTATTTAACGTAGCGAACTGGGAAGTGACCATTTTCAATAGGTAAATCATCATTTTTATCATCTATAAATGGGTAATTTTCCATATCTACGTTAAATAACCAAAGGGTAAAATGATCCAATTTTAGGATGAACTCCCGCGGGAAAAAAATGCAAACTCTCAGGTGCACTGGCCCCAGTCGGCGGTGCCTTGCCAGAATATTATGGCCGTATTTGCAAATGATGAGTTATAAAAAAGATATTTTTAAACATAAGTATTGGATGTGTTCCATAACTTTTTATGATAACAGATTATGAAGATAATGTTCCCATCTAATCTGGTTGGTGGTTTGGAACACGAATTTTATTTTTCCAAATTTATTGGAAATGTCATCATCCCAACTGGCGAACTCCATCATTTTTCAGAGGGGTAGGTATACCACCAACCAGCAACATATACCAGCCTCAGTTAACCATTGGGCTGATGATAATGAGGGATTATGCCAAGCAATATATTGGGGATTATCTGATGCGTTCCAGAACTTTTTTATTTTCCCCATTTTCCCAAATATCTTGGGAATGTCATCATCCCAACTGACTTTCACTCCATCATTTTTCAGAGGGGTTGAAAGTTTCACCAACCAGATTATAATTAACCATCATTAACCATTAATAATAACCATCATCATTAACCATTATTAACCATTATTAACAGTATATTAGCAACCAATGGTAGGTGGCTCAACCACCAACCAGAACTTTTTGCAGCGAGGTGGCGCCACCTGAGAACGTGGATCCCAAGTGGTGGCTCACCTTGGAACGCGCTGGCACCTGGCAGGCGACGTAAATTTTTTCTGCGGAAATGGGGGGGAGTGAAACGGTTAAGCAACCAGCAAAAACTTACCAATGTCATCCTATTTCATGCTATTTCCTATGGTTTGCCTAGATTGTTTCATTGGGAAACATCCAGCATCAATGGAGATTTCTGACATCAACTATGATGAATTTTCCAGCACATCATGGAGCTGATCCTCTTTCAGAGGACGGGTTGTTACTCTGAGCTTGGGCTTTCCATCGACAAGAACGCACGATCCGGAGTAGTTTTGAGGTGGATTTCGACGACGATGAAGGAAGGAAGAGATTGTACAATTCATCACAGCCATTTCTAATCACCAGTTCCAGTGATTTTTGACCACCTGCATCCACATATTCCTCCCTGCAGGCGCTGGAAGCAGCCTATGACAGGGGGATTTGTAGGTCCTTGGGGGTCAGCAACTATTTGAAAAAACATCTGGAGGAGACTCACGGAGAGGGCCAAGAGATTTGCACGGTTGATGTTGATGTTGGTTGATGTTGGTTGTGGTTCTGTGACATACTAATGTTTCTATACTTATATAGGTATGTAAATACATGATGTTTTTGTATCCAGTTTTGATTTGAGAATTCTTTGTTGACATTTCAACATGAAGCCCTTCGAAAAGCATTCGTTAAAGCTGTTGATGCCAAGTGGAGACGCCTGGAGTGGTCATTGCTGACGCGCCATCTGCGGGATGATCCTCCAAGTGTCAAGTCAACAAGGCCTAGCAGTGGCATGGTCATCCCAGTGATACGAAGGCTGATCCCATGGGAACTTGACCATGGCAGCCATGGCAGCCATGGCACCCCAGGAGCTCTGGAAATACGCGCGAGTGAAACCATCTGTGAACCAGCTGGAGCCCCTTGGCCCTTTGCTGCGCGTATCGTGGGCATGGAAAAAATCGCCTCCTCTTCAGGGGGTGAACCAAAGATCACGCAAAGCCAAAAACCTGGTCTCGGAGAATCCCACAAAAAAGTGTGGGTTATACCTTGTTCAAACTCATTCAAGATATTCATAGTTTTTCCTTGGAACGTTTTTTTCCTGACATTAGCCCTTCCCCCTGGTAATCAGCTCCATGGCTTGCTGGAAATCTCCCATTTATATAGATCGATGATGATATCATATGGAGGTTTCTTAAATTGGGGGTACCCCCAAATCATCCAAATTTCGACAATTTTTGTATTGAACCCTATGGTTTTGGGGACCCTCATTTAAGGACCCCCCATATTTTCCCACTAATACAGCTTGTGGTTAGGGCTTGTCAGCCATGAAGCTGATGAAACTGGAGACCACAACTCACCAAGTTCTGTGAAGACAAAAACATCGACGCCCTGAGGTACACCCCCATGGCCCCTCTTCAAGATGCGCGGCAACCAAGTTGTGGGATAGACCCAAGGTTATCATGGCACCTCATTTTCCCGATGAAAAGGCCCATTTTTGGGGTTTTATTACCATACATGAAATTTTCAGAGAGTTTCCATACATGAGTTTCTGTAGCCAATCGGGTTTACGAAATCGTAGTCACTGACTGTACAGGATCACCCTGAGGAACTCACCCTGACTGTATCTGAGAGTCGGACTGGCTGTCCTGGCTATGTAATCTAAATCCAGTTGTGTAAGTTAATGCACATCTGCATTTGGATCGATATTATTCATGTAGATACTACATATTGTATATTTCTATATTTATATATAATTACTATATATATGTATAAAAAGCAAGGATA